CCCAAGGTCCCATGTGAGCAAAAGTTTTGCTCCAGAGTATGCTGAGCTGGATAACAGATGACAATGTAAAGAGGAAATGGTGAGATCAAACCCTGCTCTCCTCAGGACCAGAGAGATGCAGGTTTGGGTTGTGCAGCACTTGCAGGAGAGGCCTTTGGTATTTGTAATGTCTCTGCAGCACCGGAGGGCCTGTGGTGCAGGTGAAGTTGATCTCAGGACTGACAAGGTGCTTTTGAAAATGGCCTTGGCTATGGACATCCTGTGATCCAAAACCACTGTGAAAATCATTGGTCTGTTCCTTGCTTTCCTCATCAGATGACTAAAGGATGGGGGAGAAACACTACCTACATCTGCTGGATAGAGATGGGACAGGACTTGCCTCACTGCAGTTACTTGACCAAAAGCACTAAACATGTCTGAGGTTCTCCTGGGCTCAGTTTCATGGCTGTTCTGAATGGGGATGGTATTCCTGCACATCCTCTGCTGTCCTTGCTGGCTGGACGCGGGTGCTGGAGAGCCTTGCCATCTCAGGTAGCACCGCAGAATGGAGTTAACCTTTAAAATGAGCAACAGCCTTGAATCAGGTAAGGAATTGTAGGGGTGTCTGTGAGAAACTTGCCATAACTGCAATGGAGATCTGGGAAATCCAGCTGGTGGAGAAGAGAAGAGAGACTTAGCTCTCCCAATCGCGATGACTCCATTTGCTCAGAGGAACACTTCTAAAAGCTGCCCTGAACATCCTGAGCAGGAACAGGCTTCATTGTCCTAAATGTAGGCATCTACTGTCATTTCAGCTGGCCAAAGGGATGCCTCACCAGCCTCCAAAATGATGAGTCTATATGCTTCTCTGTCCCTCTTAATTGTTCCATCAGAGCTTATAGTGACCTGCACATGTCTTGGACTGTTGTCAACCGCTCCGGCGGGAAGAGGGCGATGCAAGGAAGACATGCGCACTTAATATAGTCCCTGCCTCTGACTGTCTGGTTATCCTGTCCCATAGTGGGACAAGAAGAGGTGAATCTTGGAGTCAGCTCTGTCTCTGACAGATAACATGACAGTGATGAAATGTCTCTCCCCAGGTGTCAGAGGAAATTTCATTGATGACTCTTCAGGCTGTTTCAGAGCAGATTCCCATGAGTTCAAGAAACATCTTTGACAGAGCCCAGAGGGACCAGAGTAAGTGGAGCCTTGGCTAGTCCCCTGCTGCTGAGCTGGGCTGGACTCCTGGGATGGAAGGAGCTCATGGCATGTGGGCAGCACTGCAGAGAGACAGCTCTGCCCAGGAGCAGCTCCTCTGACAAGG